GTACCGAGCATGACGTCACATGGTATGGAATATCCCTCTGGCCAGTTTGGCTGTGCCCCCTCCCAGCTTCTTGTGCACCTCCAGCCTTCTCAGTCGGTAGAGCATGGGAAACTGGAAAGTCCTTGGCTAGTGTAAGCACTACCTAGCAACAACTAAAACATGGGTGTGTTATCAACTTTGTTCTCACCCTAAATCCAAAACACAGCACTGTACCAGCCACTAGGAAGGAAATTAACTCTATCCCTGCCGAAACCAGGACACACGCCCTTGTAAAAAGTCCCTCTCCAGCTTTCTTGTAGGCCCCCTTCAGGTACTGGAAGGCTGCTAAAAGGTCTCCCTGAGCCTTCTCTTTAAGTGCTTTTATTCTCATTATTGTGCTGCACTTCCATATCAGCTTGAGATGTCTGTCAATAGAGAGGGAAAAGCCAGTATCAAATTCCACTGACGAGGAGAGAGGCTTTGAAATTTGCTACAGAATTAATTATTAAGGTGGAAATGACTGATACGTGTGTCTGTGAATTCAGGGATTATCTGTGAGTTTCTAGTAGGTGGGATCATTACCATCTTTTCTGGAGACATGACAAAAATACAAATGTCTCCATAGACCACTAAATTTCTTCTTCAAATGCAAAAAACATTTTTATGTTTCAACTTTCCTTCTTGTGGGTTTACTTCTTTGCTAAAACACAAATGATCAGTGTTGAGCAATACACTGTACAGCATGCTTTTAGGGCCAGACTGAATTGCTATAGTTGCTTGCTCTGGCCTGCTTGACCTAGGCCATAAAAATGCTGAGCAAATGTCAAGCCCAAACCTTGCAATTAAGCCATAACATCCATTTTAGAAAGATGATAATTCTGTTGGGATTTAAAGGTTTGTGCTGGTTTTGGCTGGGATAGAGTTAATTTTCTTCATAGTAGCCAGTATGGGGCTATGTTTTGGATTTATGCAAAAAAACCAGTGTTGATAACACAGGTGGGAGGGGACACAGCCGGGACAGCTGACCCCAGCTGACCAAAGGGATATTGCACACCATATGATGTCATGCTCAGCATATAAAGCTGGGGGAAGAAGAAGGAAGGGGACAATGTTTGGAATTATGGCATTTGCCTTCCCAAGTAACTGTTAGGTGTGATGGAGCCCTGCTTTCGTGGAGATGGCTGAACACCTGCCTGCTGATGGGAAGCAGTGAATGAATTCCTTGTTTTGCTTTGCTTGTGTGCACGATTTTTGCTTTATTTGTTAAACTGTCTCTATCTCAACCCACGAGTTTTCTCACTTTTACCCTCTGATTACCTCCCCCATCCCACTGGGAGAAAGTGAGTACGTGGCTGCGTGGGGCTGAGTTGCCTGCTGGGGTTAAACCATGACAGTCATTTTCAGTGCCCAACATGGCGCTCAAAGGGTTCAAGGTAATGACAGATTTGATTGGAATGTGCTAGATCAAATTTAAAGCTGTTATAGGTGTTTAGCTATTAATTGGCAGTCCTGTGCTTGCCACGGGGTTTGCTTGCCTCGCTGTACATTAGCGTCTAGTGCTTGTTAGTGGCTGCTTTTTGCTCTTGCTGTTTGCTCTAGTGCTTATCATCTTACCCTGCTGTGCCTGGGAACATTTTGATAACAGCAGTGGCCATGTGCCTGGGCTGGCAGACGGCCAGGGCATCGCTGCTGTTCCTGTGCTGCTGTACTGGACAGGCTGGAACTCCAGTGTGAACTCGAGTCAAAGGGACAGTGACCTGTGGATAAGTCTATGTGGGAGCAGGACACCCCAAAGCGTCTGTGGCTGTGGCAAAGCCCATGCCAGAGCAGGTACATCTCAAAGGGTCTGTGACCATGGTTATGTCTGTGCTGCAGCAGGTATACCTCTGATGGGATTGCGGCCCAAGGATAAGTCCGCACTAGAGAAGGTACAGCTTGAAGCATCAGTGGCTGTGCATGAGGTCATGCTGGAGCACCTTGAAGTACGTGGCCATGGATAAGCCCATGACAGAGCAGGTACTCCCCTGGAGGGCCTGCAGCCATGGGTGAGGCCATGTTGGTGCAGGTTTACTTCTGAAGGGACTGTGGCTGTGGGTAAGGCCATGCTGGAGCAGATACATCTCTGAAGACATTGTGGCCCATGGAGAAGGCCAACCTGGAACAGGTGCACCTTAAAGCGACTGTGGCTGTAGAGAAGTGCAGTACTCTGCATGATACTTTATCGTGGCCTAGCTCTATAGAACTGTTTTGGTTTTGTAATATGCTTTTTCATAGTGCTTTTTATGTGTCAGAAATCCATATATGCTCCTTATGCCTCGAGTCCTACTTGTTTCCTCAAGCTGCTCACTTGCTCAGACTGTGTTTCTGGCTAGACCTGTTGTTTCCAGGCTAGACCTTTTTCCTTCCCTCTTATGTGCGAGGAATGGGCAATAGGGTACAGCTAATTCCCTTCTAAAGAAGAAAGCACAGGGCCAGCAGCAGCTGCAAACACCTCCCAGCAAAGCTGAAGACAGAAAACAAAGTGGAGAAACTGCTGTCAGCAAAATGGCATGTTTTACTCTGTGTTTGTAGCAGAAAGCGTAGAGCAGGAATTTTTTTTTTGAAGGGGCAAGGGACTTGCCTAGGTCACCTCTTCATTATGGTCTGCCTTTACTCTAATGAAGTGACCCAGTAAGCGGCACAGGAGAGTAGATGGTGATCCTCGCCTAACTATACAGATACAGTTTTAGCTTAATTTGAGATTAATTTTTACAGTTAAAAGCTATGTCCAGAAAAGCGTCAGTGAGATCCTACCCATCTGCTGGCCTAATGAAATAAGTGGGACTTCTGCATCGGGCTTTCTAATGCTATCCAAAGCAAAACTACCACTGTGATTGGAAAGGTCTGAATTAGGGATGGGAGGAGAAAAACCAAACAAAATGCTTTATTTTATTCAGAGGGGGCTGACTACGAAACAGAAGTAGAATGAAACCTAAGGAGGGCAAGGACACACCTATGTCAATGCCTGTGCTTGTTACAGCCACATACATTGATATGTAAATGTATGTTAACCTTGAAGTCTTAGTTTTCACCTCTGAACAGAGATTTAATGTCATAACATTTCTGCCACTTTCCCCAAATGCCTGACTATACTTAAGAACAAACAACTTAACAAATGGGCAGTTTCACTGGATTTTAAAGTGTTGACAGTCAAGTCTGGATAGAGGTATCATTTGATAAAACATCACTTCCAGTAATGATTTTAGTTATAGTAAGTTTGGAAATTGAATTTTTTGTTATTTGCTTTTATTTACTATAATTAGAATCTACAACTTCCTCCTCTCAGGAAATTATTATGGAAACACCCACCTTGGGAGAATCTTGAGTAAAATGAACAGTGCTAAACATTGCTTTTTTTTTTTTCTGCTAAGCTTTCAATAGGGCCTATTAAAAACTTGAATAATTAAATGACACTTTGTATGGTTCACTCCCAGAGCTTTTTACATGCTTTAGAAGGATTTTAAACTAATGGTAATGCTTGTATCATGTTAATGAAGCTACTGTATAATACATACAGGAGTCTTCTGTTCTCTCTTACTTCTGATGAATTATGGTGACAGTAACTATTTGAAGCTACCTGTAGCTTCCTTCCTAATCTGGAGCCTCACGCTATTTAGCAATGCTTGGATTAGCAACAAAAGGCCATACAAACCCAGATACAGGGCCAGGGCTGCCACCTCTTTGCTGTTTTTTAGGTTGTTTGGCGTTATGTTGTTTTATGTTATGTTCATTTTCTCAGTTGCTACAATGCATGATGGATCACAAAGTTGTTGTGAGGGAAATCAACGTTCAAGTTCATGCTTACGTTAATACTGCTGAGACAGACTGGAACAGCTGTAGCAAGTAAAATAAACTACTGCTGTGCTCAATATTAAAAAAAGGTAAGAAAAGTAGATTGTTTTGAAAGAACAGGAATTTGGTGATATTTGTAAATGTGTGGAACGTCTTACCTGCCATGTAGTTTTAACAGTACTGGCTATGAACAGGCTTACAATGTATTTAATTTCTGTGTGTCTTGTGCAAGAGCCTTATCCAGTTCTGGGTTCTTTCCCTTACACAATGGAAAAGTCAAAAAACAAGCTGATTTCCTTTGCTGGGCTTCACAGAAAAACCTGTGAAATGAAGCGTAACTGTTCTATGAACAGGATCCCTTAATAACTACATCTGTAAGCATAACTGCGTTAGAAATCATTGCAGTATCTCAGCACATTCTTGGACAATTTCCTAACTCTTGCTGCATTTGAAAGAAGTTGCTGAGTGTCCCATAATTCAGGTATTGACACTGTGTGCCTGGAAAGGGGGAGGTCAGAAAATGTAGTGAGTTAAAGAGGAACTGTACTCTTTGGACTGAAGTCACTGTTGCGGCAGGCTCTTTAGATTCTGAGCACAAGAACTTTAAAAAAAATAATTACCATCTTTAATTTTTTTTGTTAACATCCATTACTAATGACTTTCAGCTGCTTCTCTCCTACTGCAAAAGCAGAAATGGGGTCATTCTTTTTCCTAAGTTTGTAAATTAATGTTGAACCACTGTGCAATGGAAAAACTACACATACTTGCAAAAAGTATTTATTTTTACAAGAGTATTTGATGTAAAACAATAGTGTACAAAGCAAATATGTTCACAGATTTTTGTGTTTTAAATTCTTTCTCTCTGAAAGGAATAATTAAGATGTCTTCTGATCAGTGGAGCAGTACGTTCCTAGGAAAGAAGAGCTACACTTGATCACTGTGCAAAAGGAGCATACAGCAGTATGGAAGACATTTTCAGAAAATGGAAGGTCTGACATTTCTTGTTAACCTAAACAAGACGGAGAGAGAATGCTCATCTTTGTTTTTCCTTCAGTCCCATCCCATCACCATGATGACGGCTGGTCACTTTTCACAGATTGAAAAATTCTGCTTCCAATTAACCTCCCCAGCCCCACCCCAGCTCTCCCTAATTTTATATCGGCTTTTTAATTTGGCATAGAAGTTACAAACAAAAAAATTTAAGTACAGAATACAGTTTCATCTAATTTCAGAGATTACTAATGTTGGCCAAATTACTGGAGTGCATAAAATCGTTCAAAACAAGAGTCCCTGGCACCTGCAGACTGGAATGGTTGTATCACCAAAGAGCAGGGATAAACCCCAAATTTCCTGTATTAAAGAACTACCTAAGCCACAGTAACATATGTGTGTGTGTGTGTGTGTAGTTTGTTTTGTGCACATGCGTTCTTGGTTACAGTGAACCTCTGGAAGACATAAATATTGAGAGGTAAATGTTTCTGTCAGCTGATTGTTTTAGCAGTCACATAATCCTTCCTTTGATGTCTTGGGTCAATGAAATCCTAGTACCATCGGGGTTTAGTAGGAGATATATTAAAAGAGTTTCTCTGTGATCTTTCCTGCAACGGAAACAGCAGTAAAAGTTATTATTCTGTCATGATAAAGGAGTATCTGTGCGTTCCTGATTGCCCCCGCTTTCCAAATGGAGTTATTTTTTAGGTTACTGGTAGAGCATAACTGTGGTTACAGAGTTAATAATGATCTCTTTAGATTTCTAGAGCTACCACAACAAGGTCTGGAGAAGACAGGGAAGATCCACAGTGCAAGCACATTCTCTTGGTTATTAGCAGGTTACTCTGAAAATAACGCTGGAGGTCAGTTATCAGAGCAATACTGTGTGATGTGCTACATATCCACATACCTTCTTGTCCTAAGCCAACACTTCTCTAAACAGTACTGAGGTAGCTTTTCCACCTTAGGCCATTTAGTGTTTAACATCAGGACATCGTAAGGTATACTAATTCGGTTTTTGAAACAGTAACAACATTTCTCAAAAGGCTCTTAGAAAAGGTACATCTTTTTTTGCTCTAGGGCTCGACTTTTTTTTTTAGCCAGTGTGAAAAATCAGAACTGATATCAGCTCAGTAGGCACCGGAGGACGGGTCCATCAACAGCCTGGAAAAACAGCAGCAGCAGCCGTAAGTGGCAGCTCCAGTCGGAAACAACCATTTCCTGCAAACAACACACAGTGCTAAGCTACAACTGCAGAGAGATCATGACAGCATCCATTAAAGAGAATACTACGAAACAAAGCTTTATAGACAATTCCAGTTTAAAGTCACAAACATTTATTTCCTCTGACCTTTAGAAAAGCATGGTAACCAAATTACTGTAGGCGATGCCTTATGTTTGCAGTCAGACGGAGAATTTAAGGAGTACTGTTTATTCTCAACTAAAACCAAGAGTCTTTGGTCCTCCCCAAGTCACCCCTGCCTCTTATCCTTGATACACTGCATCTCACACATGCGCATTCACTGTAAATCTGCCCATTCAGCAGCAAGGTATCTCAGCCAGCAAACGCTCTGCACCCTGCGCAGGCTGACATTAAGCAGAGTCTCCTCTCCCCTTCTCTTCAGGTGCAGAACTTAGCCACTGTGAACAAAGAGGGAAACAATCACTGTTCACCAATCAGCTAAGCTCTGCACCTCGCCAGAGAGGTCTCCATCTCGGTATAGCTAATTATCGGATGAGGTTCTTCTGCGACGCATCTGCTGCTTTCCTCTTTTTTTTTTGTTTAGTGGACAGAGAGGATTCCACGCTGTGTACAGATCAGACAGTTATGGTGAGTTTCATACTAGCAGCTTCGGTCATGGCTGTGTGGTAATCCCTGGCAATGTGATTTTAATCTTAAGTCACAAATCATCATGCCAGGAACCCAAACAGCCACAACATTAAAAGTAAGCTGTGCAGTCACACAGAGTGTTGTTATCATAACAGTATCTTTAGATGTTATGTTATAGCTCACCATGCACTTCTAGTCTGTCTGAAAAGTCAAACGGGCAATTCTGGACTATTCCTAACACATACATACCACGTAATCTTCCTCTGCTAAATACTTACCACCAGAAGACTGTAGAAATTTTGATTTTTATTTTATTATTGAAGGAACTATAGGAAGACAGTTCCAAGTACAGTAGTACCAGAACATACTGCATCTCCATGTTTCTGGCCTTCAGACACTTCAAGGCATTTACCAGATTAAGAATTGTTGAATGTAATTCAAACTCCTGTGGGTGCTCGATAATTGGGAGCACACAAGCAAGTCTCTTAGCCCTACCTGTTTTAGAAGGCAAACCTCCTACCCCATAACTGATATCCTGGCACTCTACAGTCTAATCCACTTTTCCCAAAAAGTTTTCTTGGCAGGCACAGTTCTTGTCTATACAGAAGAACAACATGGCTATTCATAAACAAACTTGCTTTCACGGTATCTATCTGCTGTATTTCATATAAATAAAGTAACCACACATTCAAATGGAACTCGCTATGGAGTACTGCTACATGTAGAGGCTTGAACAGGAGAAAATTAAGATTTCTGCTCGGTACCGATTAGAAAATGATGATTTTGCTAAGTTAGATGCCTGAATTTTGATACCACAAATCAACTGTAAAGTTATGTGAACAACCAAGGCAATCAGTCTGTCAGATGAGTTATATCATTAAGCAAAAATCTGAGGTATGCTGTACTGGAAGGGACCTTCATACCAATCCTAATTGGCTATGTGTTAAACATGCGTGTACAAACACTCTAAGGTTACCTCCGGCTACTCAAATCGACTGAGAAATGGAGAATACCTTTGCAAATTACCCGTTTATAGCCTGCAGCAATCTTTACTTCGTGAATATTTCTTGCAATTCTGCTTTTTTTCTGGTGATTCCTCCCCACTAATTTCAGAAACAAGCTAGACTATGTATGATATTAAGGAGCTTTTTCATGTTAAGGCTACTCTTCTTACCTCATAATCAGTCTTCAAAGGCCTTACTACACTTAACACAAAAACATTTGAATTATCAGCTTGTTCTCACATGATTCAGATTTCCTTCCAAGTGCACAGCTTCGTACTTCCACTGTGGGCTCAGATTCTTTGCAAAGACTGTGCTGCCTATCAAGCCAACACGCAGCTTCGTTAAACAGAAACGCTCCTTGCACAATTGCAACTTCTGTAAGCAGAGTTAAGAGTACAGAATGGGAAACAACTGCAGGTGGAGCCTGGCCTTCTCTGGCCATTCCGACTTACAGTTGCCTCTTGTACAGTCCATTACAAAGTCATGCTCCGTGCTCTCCAGCTACTGCCTACACGTATCTAACTCACTGCTCCAGCAGCTAGGCTTAAAAAAAGAAAAAAAAGAAAGCAACATATTTAACAAGAGTTACTTCTCGAGCTAAGCAGCCACAAGCTGTATGGTATGCCAAAGTTTACTACGTTAAGTGAGCTCTGCATATTCTTTCTGTATGAGGCAAAATCAGGGTGTTCAATTTAAAAAGAAAAATCACCTCTTCAGAATAACATCTCTGCCACCACTTTGGCTGAGGACGCATCCATATGTTCTCGTGCTGCAGCAAAGCATTTATGTGCAAGTTCTTGCTGTTTTGCATCTTCGTTCACCATTAATTCACCATAGAGGTACACACCCATTGCCTGAAAGAGGAACATAACACACAGGCATCCTATCACCAGTAATGACTAGTTAGCTGGTTTTCATTCCATTGACCTCCTAGTACCCATTTAATTAAAAACAAAACGAAACAAACAACCCAAAACACAGAAAATACCATATACTTTACAACACCCTCCCTTCCCCCCAAAAAGTAGTTTGCTCTGGATCTTTTTAGCCTAAGGATGGTTGTCTATACGTTGTACTGAGTGGGTAAGAACAGAATATTAATATAAGAGGTGTATGTTATGTTGTGACAAGAAAATGCTTTCTCACTCCATTTTTCTTGCCACTTTTCAAGTTGAAATCTGTTTTCTTTTATCCACTACACGAAATATTTCTAAATGC